CCGCCAGCTCTGCAGGCAGCAGCAACACAAAGCTCTACACCGGCGGGCCCCAGTGATGACCCTCTATACTTCGGTAACTTCAGACAACTGCTGTTCATACCTGCCTATATGTACAATCACGTCTGTAGCACAAACACACACATCCTCTCCTTTGTGCATGAATTCTGAGGACAGAGATAGTTTGATGATAGCCTGTGTTCTTTCACTGTTTCTACTGTTGTCCCTCAGATATAATGAGGATTGTCGTTGCGGTACGTCTGGGACTGCTAGCGATGGCTTTGGTTTTACTACTGCTACTGTGCAGACATAAAATCCTATGGACACAAGGTGAGGGATGGAAACCTGGCACAAATGCTAGCATGCAAGGAGTGAGGAGTAACTACAAGTAGACAGAAAAAATATCTTACTGTTTCCATCTATTCATATGTTGTTTGTCCTTTGTGTTGTGTTGCAGGGGGCTCATCAGGACAGACCACAACTGCTGGTCATAACAGAGGTGTGTGTGGGTTTGCACGTGAGCAGCAACTGCATTTATCTGACTACTGCCCTTTCCCTCTGCAGGAAAATCCTGAAGATCACCCCAATGAGGAGATGCAGGAGTTGAACAAGCAGATGAGCTCAGGGGATGCGCTGCCGTCCATTTATGGTGTCATCAACCTTGCTTCACTATGCCAGCATCAGTCTGCAGAAGGGAAGGAAACACAGTTTCTGGCACAAATAAAAGTGACTTCTCAGTCTGTGACTAACCTTCCCGCAGACCTGCTTCACTATGCCAGCATCAGTCTGCAGAAGGGAAGGAAACACAGTTTCTGGCACAAATAAAAGTGATTTCTCAGTCTGTGACTACCGGTACTCATCTATTAGGACTCAAGGTGGCACCTGTCCTCCAACAGCAGATCAACTTCTCTATTCCACAGTTACAATGCCAGGGGAACTAAAATAGTCAATCTTTTAATATGTATTTAGAGTGGGACATGATGTGAAGGATTTGAATTTTCATATGTATAAATATCATCTATACACCCAGAATATATGAAGAAATGATTGAAGTGGTCACAAAAATAAGTACCGCAAAGAAGGAAGTTACTGGCTAGTGGTTTCAATTTAGCAGATGATTCAGAGTTAACAGAATTATTTATTAACTGATGATTGTGTGCATTTGTAAATCTAAGACACTAGTTATTATATAATTCTTCATGAATATAGTGCAAGCAGCTATTAATTAGCTGCTAATCAGAAATAGTTCTTGATTTGCTCCTTAAACTTGATCATTGGTAACTACTTGAAATACCTTGTAAAGCATTGCTATAGTTCTCTCAATATTACAATATCTAAAGTGGTTAAATCCAGGGACGGCCCAGGCTCTGTTGGTGCCCTAGGCGAGATTTTAGATCTCTCTCTCCCCCCCCTCTAAAAAAAAAAATCAGAAAATGCAGATTTTTCCAAACTTTACTAGAATATAACATAACCTTACATACTGATAAGTATTAAGATAAATTAGTAAATAATTTGTGATAATAAATAAATTTGCCCTAGTCACCTGAAGAATCGCAAAAATTATATTAGAAATTAAAGTGCAAATCAACAAAAAAGTGCTATTATATTCAGAATCACACAATAGTTTCAAAACTGAAGACGCCTGGATTTCTTTGCAGCAAAGTCATCAATGACTGCATCAAATGACAAATTCTGAGAAACATCATTATTGATGCTCTTTGGCCATGGTAGACCTCAAGTACGTCTTAATCAGCTTGAGCTTTGAAAAGCTCCTCTCTGCAGCTGCCACACAGTCACTGGGATAGTCACACTTATCCTCAGTGCCACCCACATGTTTGGAAAGATTTCTTACAGTCGTTTTTCATGCAGATATTGAAGAATCTCCATGGTTAAGATGGTCTAAAAAGGCTTTCAAAATACTGCATAAACATCACGGGCTAATACTCAGTGATTGTGATTCTTACTTCTATGTTGTTCTTTTTTCTGTTCCTCTTCTTTGCGTCGCTTCCTGACTTGTGCCCGTGATAATTTTCTTTTTTCACTCATTTTTAAAAATGGTACTTTCAGAGCACATATTTTAACTGCGTGCTCCATGCACTGTCAATGCGTTATGATGATGCATTATAATTACGTCATGACGCAGAAAGTGTTTAAATTAGTACGTTTTCAAATCTTCTGGTTTTTCATTGATGTCAATTTTATTTTATTCTAACATTACTTGAATCACTACGATGATCGATCAGTACTAAAACTGTCATTTTCTTATGGGTGTTGGAGCGCATGATGGTCACAAGAGGGCGCTCTT